GAAATGGTGCTTTACCATTTATATGCAAATCATCTTAATTTATTCAAGGCTTTGTTTTCCAATCAGATTAGTAGGAGTCGAAATCAATAAAGGTCCCCCTCCCATTCTCCACTGAGTCCTAATGAAGCAGCTTGATTTAGAACCTGTGTTTTCTGCCAACATATCGTCTTTTGGTGGGGCTTTTTTTTAAGATTGTATATCCTGATTTTCTTGCTTTCTTCACCTGTTGTTTTTCTCCTTTCTGTCACTCACCCCTCTTCCGCCCAAACACACACTTACCATTGATCCTCTCAGGGTCAGGATGTTTTCTTAATCTTTCCTATGCCTCCCTCACTAATTGCAGTGGTCCTGTTGTTTTTTTACCCCAGTGTATTGTAGCAGTATTTGTGGTGTTGTGTTATATTGTGTGGTGATTCATCACCCTGGACTTGAACAGGTGTCTGTATTTCCCAAGATATTGGTACCTTTTATATATTTACAAGTACAAATAATGCTGTTTCATAGGGGGCACGGACTTCGGGTCTAGATAACACTCCTAAGCACTCATATTTACAAAACGATGATAAATCTGACTTCTTCATAATGTCAGCAAGACTGACATTTTTGTTTAAAAAGAATGTTCCCTGCCCACCTAAATGCAGTAGCTATTAATTTAAAGCCCACAGGAAGCATGGTGTTACTGTTTGTGGTTCATTTCAAGGTAAAAGCTGTAATTTCCACTAATATGCATGACAACTAGCATGCCAAGCATGAGAGAGCAGGTGGTTAGCAGGATTTACAAGCAGGGCTGACGAAGTGCCATATTCATAAGCCTTTTGGCAGATACCAAAATGTTTATATCAGTCACATTATGGATTTGTCCACCTGGCACCAACTTGAAAAGTAGCAAAAGAGCTGAAAAGTAGTATGTCTTTCAATCTCCAAGCAGAGTTACCATTATAAATACAAGGTGAAGACAGATTTGAAGACCAATAGAACAGTGGGGTCCCTTCTGACTCACTCTCCTAATGCAGTCCCCAAACATGCCTTTTAATCTCCAGAACATGAGGAAATGTTTGGACAAGCAAATGACAGCTAGAGCCAATATGAGTGTTCTCAGGGTACCACTCTCTACAACCCCTGGACGAATCATTCTGTATTTTTCCTAATAGCTAGAATCCTATTGGCAATTTTTAGAGCTCAGTGAATTTGGCTACCTGGCTGTGGGGCCAGATATTAAGAGTTCAGTTCCCCACTGTGTCTCCCAGCAGAAGAGCTATGCAGTGTAGCCTTACACAATCTGCAGAGTCACAGGGCACTCCTAGAAGAAGGGAATGGTAAACCACATATGGGTATTCTATGCCTAGAAAACTTTGGAAGAGGTACCGTAGGTCAGAATTGTTTTGACAGCACACAATTATTAAGTGAAAATGGGTAGATCATGATGGCAAATTGCTGCTATTCAATGAAATGCTAGATGTCAGGTTCTCGGTTGCATGCCCATTGCACAGCTGGGAATGCAACCAGCATCTCATTCATTAAGAAGCAGCTCACCATAATACTTACTTATGCACAGGTAAATTGCTAAAGTGGGGGGGGAATGATTCCTTAAAAATGTAGTGCTGGAGGAGAGCTTTGCAGATATCCTGGTCCACCAGAAAGATGAACAAGTGGGTCCTAAAGCAAATCAAGCCTGAACTACCTCTGAAGGCAAAAATTATGAAACCAAGGCAGCTCTACTTGGGCACATGATGAGAAGGCAAAATTCTGTGCAAAGGATGATAATGTTAAAAAGGGTTGAAGGCAAGCAGGAAAAAAAGGAAGCCCCAAGCGGAGATATATTAGCTCCCTAAAGGAAGCCACAGGCTTGAGTCTACAAGAACTGAGCAGGGCATTTTGAGGAGAGGATATTCTGGAGGTTACTCATTCACAGGGTCGCCAGAAGGCAGAAACAACTTGACGGCATGTAACAATAACAAACAAATTGCCAATAGGATTTTGGATATTAGGGGGGAGGGAATTACAAAATGACTCCAGAGAGTGGTATCCTGACATATGCCAGTTTTTGTTTTTTGTTTTTTAAGAAAAGGGGAAAGGGAAAAAGGAGTAATGTAACAGTGAAAAAGTGCCTGGTGCCCACCTGGGTCAGGTGGGACAGAAAAGCCTGATTGGGTCCTCCACTGAACTTAATAGAATATATAAATCTGTCAGAAAAATTGTGAAAGTGGGCTGACTCCACAGCTGGAAAACCTGCAGGGGTTCCTCTTGGAATATTGTGTCTGTCTTCACCTGTCACATTCAGAATGGAACATGAGCAGCCTTGCTTATAAGGTTATGCTGCCACATGCTTTGCTGCTATGCAGGTAACATTTTATAATCTCTTTAAAAATCCCTGTTATATGTTAACGGCCTCTTTTGTTATTGTGTGGGGTTTGGAATTAATCTGCCAGTCATAGCTGAACCCCTGAATTCCAGTGTAATTATTCAAAAGTAAATCCTTCCAAAGAAAAGGCAGAAATTGCGACACTTTTTTTCTGCGCTAACGTGAATTATGGATAAGCACTGAACAATACAAGATCAGCAAATTAGAATGGGGGCTCTCTTTGAAATTATACCTTGGTTCATAGCCAAGGGCCCAGTTAATAACTTAATTTTATTCAAACATTTTAGTTAATTTCCTCTTCATAGTGCTGCATAATACTATTGAGATATCTCAGTCTTTCTGTATATTTATGCAATATTCAAAACATGTGATGAAAGTTATGATTCCGCCATCTATGAACCTGCCTAGATTTTTGGTGGTTCTTGTTGCTTTTAGAAAGGCTGCATAAATTCAGCACTAAAATTATTTTTATTTCATTATTATACCATGGCATTCAGGGTCAGATTACCTATAGGCTGGCAGTGCCAGATGCAAGTAGAAACCCTGCATCTTATTTTGAAATACTTGAACAAATGTCTGCAATCACGTGACCAAAACCCAACAGGATAAGTTTCTAAATCAATCAGTGCTTCCCCACCTTGGCTTCCCAGATGTTCTTGGACTACAACTCTCAGAAATCCTGGTGAGCACAGTTAGTGGTGAAGGCTTCTGGGAGTTTTAGTCCAAGAATATCTGGGGACCCAAACTTGGGAACCATTGTCCTAAATGATTACTTGTCTCTCCAACGCTCAAGCTTCACAGTGGGGGTGGGGAAATGGAGGTTTTAATGTTATATGACCAAGCAAGAAATGGATGGTATCATTTGTGGCAAAGACCTTGCTTGGCCTAGTTGGATGGCCATTCTGTACTGGAGGCACAGGCAAATGCACATGTGATGGAACACGTGAATTGTGTGCTCCTTGTGCAGCCCCCTGTGCAGACGTGCTCAGTTGAGACAATCCTTCCACTTCACAGAAAAGGGAACGACTGTGCCCACTGAGTCCTCAAGCATACGGATCTTCATGAGAAAGGCCCATGTCCTGTGTTGTTTTTGGCACATGGGCAGAGGGAAGGGGCACATGCTTGCTCCTATACCATACAAAGGAACTGGCCAGCTATAAGAGCCTGACTCGGAGCTATAATATCATAATCTTGACTATCTGGAAGAGCAAATCATTGATACACTTCCTGCAAAAATGCCATCTCCTGAAAATTAGCTTTTCTTCCAGATCATGGATACCCATATCTCATCCTTCCCTAATTTGTGTTCAGAACAATACTTCACATCCTATACTTGTTCACTGTTGCTAAATACCACACCATTCAATTTTTTTGGCTCAATAATTTTCATGACCAGTTGATCATCTAATTACAGGCACAATATTATACTCTGACACCTTCAAGGCACTCCTTTGCATTTTATGCTGCACTATAAAGCTTATTTGAAAAATACCCTGAATTAAAGACGCAGACATGGCATTTTCCTCATTAGAGATTAGGTGCATAAATGAGTTTATCTGCAGGAACATTCATGGTCTAAAGAGTAGGTGTAATCCCAAATGCAGCCAAATATTGGAGACTAGTAGAACATCCACACTTTGTCAGTCATACATAAAGGGAAGAAAGATCATTCATTTCTTCAACAAGAACTCAGACTGACCAGTCGCCCACATTATTTCATAAATTGTTTTCACAGACTGATGATTTCTTGAGCCCCGCCCACCCACACACACACAGAGCACACTTCAAAAAGCAAGGATATGAATTGTTTGCTTACTTCCCCCAAACGTTTCCACTGAAGCATTTTATTGTGTTTCTTAAAAGTGTTGTAGCCCATCCAAAACAAAGCAACAAGCCCATTCCATTCAATTAGGGCAGTAACTATGTAACTATGTAACTACATATGTAGCTATATACACTATGTAATTATGTATATAGTAACAATATGTGTATACAGTATGTAACTTTGCTCGTAAGAGTGACTTGCAGACAAAAGGATTTTAACAATAAGTTTCAGCTTCTGCCTTCCTCAGTTGTTTTGAACATGGAAGCCTTCACTCTGCTTGCACTCATGTATGTATTAAGGTCATAATTATGCAGTCAAGTAGACTAAATATTTACATGCAAAGGTTTCCAAGTTAGATAGGCACTGTGGTTTATCTGTACAACAGAACATGCAGTATATCCAATAGGCACACAGACACCATTTCCTATACACGCTTATCTTCAAAATGTAAAGGAACCTTTCAAATTTAAACAGTATATACCATATATTTAAACAGCTTTCTTACTATATTAAAAATTATCTAGAAACATGAAACTATTCCATACTATAGTTACCTTATCTCGAATCCTGAAAGCGTGGGCACTGTGAATGTCCCATTGTAACTGCTGAAACAAATATATACAATTATGTCGTTTTGCTATACATTAGTGATGGTTAACATACAATCCCCTTCCCTCTCCCCAACCTTGCAGAAAGTCTTATTGCAATCAGTCTGAATGCCTCAACTAGGAGGTGTTGAAAGCCAGTGCTGAATTGGTCTTTAAAAAGAGAGAAATTACCTGATCAAGCTTCTCCATGCTTTTTTTTTTCCAGAGGCACAGTGCAAACCATATTACTCTGATTACTCTCGCTTCCGACTTCTGATTCACCAAATGTGCACCACCCATTACCTGGATTTGTTCATCACAGGTGTCATTGGGCTCAATGTCATCACTATGGCCATGGAGCACTACCAACAGCCCAAGGTAAAGAGGACAAAATTAAAGTATTGCTATATGATGAGGCACTTAGTAAACACTATCAACTTTTAAAGAAGATATAAGGATTGTAAATAGAGATGCAATTCACCCCATTGTCATACTGAAAGAGGACAGGTGGTGATATTCCAGTTTTGTCACTGAAACATGTTTGTGCCAGCTGAGCATGCTTTACATGTAGAAGGCCTCTGTTCCAGTTGCTGGCATCTCCATCTAAGGGTAGGAAAGAATTCTGTCTGCTGGAATACTGGAGATCTGCTGCCAGTCATTGTTGACAATATTGGGCTGGATGAGCAGCTTCCGATGTTCCTCTGTGTTTATTTGGAAACTCAAGAGAGAGCCTTTGGAAAAAAGGTAGCATATTTCTGCTTCTCACATTATGACATCAAAGTAGCATCTTGGTATAGGCAGAAATAACTGTCTAGCTTTATTTGCCCAAGATAAATTCATAATCTTCAAGATGGGAAGGCCTATTAGGAATGTGACATGCTTTTTGGAGGGGTCTTCCTGGATGCTGAGGAAGGATTTTCTTGACTTAGTTTCTTGGAGTGCTCCTTGACGAAGATAGGGGTAGGATCTCTTTTCATATAGGGTGTGCTTTACTATTAGGCCTGTTGGACAGGTATGGTCCAAAGGGAGTCAACACTGTAAAACTGCAATCATTCACATGTGCCTCCCAAAGGGAGTCAACACTGTAAAACTGCAACCATTCACTTGTGCCTCATGCCACAGTGATTAAACTGCAGTACTCATTAAACTGCAGTATTGCAGTGAAGACTGTGCTCATAACCTGAGTTAAATATTAACCCAGGTTATGAGCACAGTCTTCACTGGGCTCAGGTAGCTGGCTCAGCCTTCCATCTTTCTGAGCTTGGGAAACTGAGTACTCAGCTTGTACCGTGGCGAGGCAATGTGTAGCCTGCATAATTAAATTGTAAACCACTCAAAGAATGCTTTAAGTACTGCGGGGCTGTATATAAGCAGCACACTTTGCTTATGCTCAAAGTGACTTGGCAGAAGTATCCCATTTTGCCTGTCCTGCTCGTGCTTTTTAAAGTATTGTTCACTGTTGAGAGATTTGCTGTGGACTGAAAGCACTGGCAATCATACCATTAGACTATACAGTACACCAAGGAGCTCATTGGTACGATCAAGGTATGATTAGCAACCTGTCGGCAAATATCAGGCATGAACGTTAATCATTTAAATATAAGAGTATTTCAAGTGAGTATTAGAGTTTCCAGTACACATCTAGGTCCCACTAGGAAGACTGGATGGGAGCAGGAATTTACATTTCCAGGCATATCCATGGATTATTCATTGATCTCAAAAGTGGACTAGGGCCAATAGGTCTCAGATTTTCATCATTTAAGTATCTCAAAACAACGTAATTTTAGCGAAATAGAATAACTGGCAGTTATTATGCATGACCAATACGAGTCTAAAAGAGGAAGTCTTCATTTGCCATTTAATCAGATCAGCCTTATTGCCAATCTGCTTCAGTTGTCTGTGTGCCCGTTCATGTGTGTTCTGTCACATTTCCAAAGAACTATCTCTCGTGACACTTTATAACATATGAAATGCTCTTTATCATCAAGACCTGCAATTTCTTAGACAACCCCCCCCCGGCCCTCCAGTCTACCCTGGTGTTGGATGGCATAACCAGGCAGACAGACAAGAGCCAGGGGAGGACCCCCTTCTCCGCCAATCCATGTCTCGGTTATGCAGGCCAGGTCTGCATCCACCTCCAGGATAAGATCGTGAATCACCTGGGGCTTGTTGGATACAGACCTGGCATTCAACTGTACCAGAGTTAGAGTGGAGGGTTGGCTGGGCTGGCTACCTCGATACTGAGGGTTGGTCACACTCTCAGAACAATGAACAGCCATCGGACATCTGTTCATAGTTCTTCTGACACAAGTAGGAATTGTGCCAACGCCATATCTCCCTCTACCTGTGATCACTGGGATGTTCAGTGGCCCCTCGCTGGGCAAACAGGCCCTCCACTCCATATCAAGAAAAAGGAAAAAGGGAGGAAAGAAAAAAGAAAGAAAAAGAAAAAGAAAGGAAGTACCCTAAATTAATACAACAAATTAGATAACACAATACATATATAAGTCAATTAAAGTGCTATCAGTTAGAAATCCCAAATTATAAGATACATTATAAGATACAAGAATCATCAAATCATGCCTGGTTCTGTCAGTCCTTCCTCACAGAGTTTGGTTTCCAGCTCCTTGTTGCCCTTCTCTGAACTTGTTCCAGTTTGTTGGCATCCTTCTTGAATTGTGGTGTCCTCAACTGGACACAGTACTCAAGGTGAGGCTTAACAAGTTCCGAATAGAGGGGAACTAATTCCTCACGGGATTTGGAGACTGCAACTGGACACAGTACTCAAGGTGAGGCTTGACAAGTTCCGAATAGAGGGGAACTAGTTCCTCACGGGATTTGGAGACTACACTTCTGCTAATGCAGCCTAAAATAGCATTTGCCTTTTTTGTAGCCACATCACACTGTTCACTCATATTCAGCTTGTGATCTACAACAATTCGAAGATCCTTCTCACTCTTAGTATTGTTGAGCCAGGTATCCCCCATCTTGTAACTGTGTATTTGGTTTCTTTTTCCTAGATGCAGTACTTTGCACTTACCCCTGTTGAATTTCATTCTGTTGTTTTCAGCCCAGTGTTCCAGCCTTTCTAGATAATTTTGAATTCTGTTTCCTGGGTATTATCTATGCCACTAAAATTTGTGTCATCCACAAATGCAGGATTTCCTGTATCCCCTGATCCAGGTCATTAATAAAAATGTTAATGAGCATTGGGCCCAGGATCGGGCCCTCGGGTACCCCATTTGTTACCATCTCCCAGTTTGAGAAGGAGCCACCCTATGAGTACAATTCTGTAGCCAACTATGCATCCACCAATTCTGCAGCCAACTATGCATCCACCAATTCTGTAGCCAACTGTGCATCCACAGTTGTTCACGGGTACCCCATTTGTTACCATCTCCCAGTTTGAGAAGGAGCCACCCTATGAGTACAATTCTGTAGCCAACTATGCATCCACCAATTCTGCAGCCAACTGTTCATCCACAGTTGTTCTATACAGTCCACACCTAGTTAAATTGCTAATCACAGTATCATGGGGCACTTTGTCAAAAGCTTTGTTGAAGTCAGGATATATGATGTCTACAGCATTTTCTCTGTCGTGTCAGATCCAGCAAGTACACAGCAGATTTCAAGTGTTGGGCCTTTATTTTGTTTCATTTTTGATTGTTTAGTTTTTGTTTTTACATGTTTTACATGTCATTACAAGAATCAGAAATTTCCTTTTTGCTATAGTGCTTACTTCTAGCACGATCTCTTTGGTTATGGTTTTCCTTACCCTTGGTGGCACACAGGATATACCACACATGAGACCGGTGAACATGTGTGTGTGTGTGTGTGTGTGTGTGTCTGTGTGTGTGTTTGTGTGTGTGTATTCCCTGCCTGCCTGCCTTTCCCCCTTCCTTTTCCTTTCCTTCGTCCCTTAGAAGGAGGGATTAAACAATAGCTGTTCACTTTTGACCACTTTCTCAGTTGTCTGCGGCATTTTACCAGATCAGCTGGAGCCAAAATGTGAAACTAGGAGAATCTTTGTCATTCTTCTCAAATTCTCATGTGTGCTGCAGTAGTTATTGCAATAGGTGTGATGAGCAGTTTCCTTCCATCTGATTGTGACTGTCATTGCAAAATTTTAGTTATTTCTGGGAATCATATAAATTGAATAAAATGGAATTTTGTTGCTTTAAAAAGTGCTGTCAAGACACAAGTGTCCATATTCAAATGTCATGCTGAACCATATTACAATATAGTGTATAAAGAATATAGCACAGAAAGCCCCAGAGGCAGGTGACTTAATTTAACCTGAGCTAGAGAAGGTCTGCTAAATTAATTGCTGAACTGATGGACAGTGAATACTTATAAAATATTGATTCAGAGGGTTGACATAGTTTGGAGCTACCAATCAGACTCAGGTCATGAGCTCCTGTTATCTTTTTTTCCCCATAATATCAAACTCCTGCATTCAGAGCTTTTAACCCACTACCATTTTTCATGTTGTCTGAAGATGTTTTCCACAAATCATGGTTGACCTTGGAGATCCGCTGGATGAGACAAGCTAGAATGGAGCCCATGATATGCTCCTAGTTTCAGGTGGGAATGAGATATCCTCCATCATACCTGTAGTACCTTGCATGCACTGAAAGAATTGTGCAGGTCCTGGAAGCCATGCACCTCACAGAAAAAAGACATTGGGCAAGGTGTGTGGCCACTGCTTTTTGAACAAGGACTAAAGGAGAGATCTGGAGCCAGGTCCACAGAAAGTGGGAAAGGCTAAGGAGTCCACAGCTTTAGAATAGTATAATCTTAAGATAGGATGTGCCAAGGAGCTCAATGCTCCCTGCATTGCGTCTCACTCCAAAGTTGCTGCAGCTCCTCTGGAAATGAGTGTGGGTATTCCTGCACACTAGGGGCCAGAGTGCAGAGCTTCTCCTCCTGAAAATGAGTCAGGGAATGCAACATATTGTTATCATCTCCTGGAAAGTGGCAGGACAGGATCTTGAAGTAGAAACCAAGACCCCATGATTGCTGAGGCGCACAATTACACCTGCAAGAGAGAGCCCTCCTGCAAGGGATCCTTGCAAGCCAGAGCATGCGTGCCACAGCCAGTCAACAATTTCCAGAAGGCTTGGCCACGTTGTCGTCGCAGCTGGATTCACCTGATCTTCCCCCAAGGTTTTTTTGTTCCCTGGGGTGCCTTTTCCTGTGCCTCTTCTTCCTGGCATGATCTCACTTCCTGGCCCTCAGTTAGTAGTCTCGGAAAACGATACTTCACAATTATGCACATTTTTCCTTCAAATCTGGGGTTGTTGGTTACTGACCTAGATCCATCCTGGCCACCCTTTTGTATCCTGGGATCTCAGCTGCTCTACCTATTCAACCAACCT